ACTACGTGACTCTCAGTATTATATTTGTGTTTAATTTACGCAAATAATTATCAAATTCTTTACTTTCAGTTAATATCTAGCGATACAACAATTACTAAAGTAAATCAAGTTTAAAGTTTGCTTTTTTAATTTTAAATAGAGATCACAAACTATTATATGATTACAATATTTAGGCAATATTTAGTTTAACTTTCTATTAAATATACATTTTAATGCAAAATTTGTATGTAAAATTTGATTATTTATATCAAAAGTACATTATTATTATTTAAGAAAGAATGTAAAATTTCGATGTGTCGGTTCATTTGCAGAATTTGTTTCCATTTAACAATACAGAATATTATTTGCAAATAATTATTATATCTATGATTTAACCTATAAATGGTTTTTAGATTGGTTGATTGCATATCTTATAATAATAATTTAGCAATTATTTCTATAATAGTACTTTACATTAATGTACTCACAAGATATGAATTTAAAACTGAATATATAAGATGTGCAATAATTGGGAAAATAGATATCATCCAAAATATTCAACATTAACTGTAATATAATTATACATTATTAATCTGCTTTTTATGGGACATTGCATTCATAAGCTTTAAATTGTGATCAAATTGTAGTATTTTAATAGAATTATTGTAAATTTTAAGTTAATAATTAGCAAGTATTGTATAAGTATTCAATCATATTACACAATAATATATTTATTTTTACAGGGTATTAAGTAATCAAAAACTATAATATTTAGATATGCAAAATATCCCTATTCTTTTGTAATTATAAATTTTATAAACTAAAAATAAGTACTTAAAATTTGCTAGAACATTCATTTTAAAAATATCAAACTCATGTAACACTTGAAAGATTTATCAGTGATTTTTATCATCAATAAAAAGATAATTTAGAAATTAAAATTAAAAACAAAGTCATTAAAAATAAATTATATTAAAATATTGATTATAAAGTACTTTATAGAAACTTAATTTCACGTACAATAAATTTATACAAAGTTTGGTTTATAATTTGAATTTGTAATAAACTGAATAAAATTCAAAAATACAAAATAAATTAAATTAGATATTATAAGTTATTGTTCATGTTTCTATCGTTTGATTCAACAAATGACCAACTTTCATTTTTGAGCAATAATTAAATAATTTAAAAAATACAGAATATAAATTATAGTTGTAATAAGTAGTAATAAATAACCGAATATTATGTTCTTATTTGTAATTAATAATAAATATTATTTTTTAATTATAATAATTTAGCTGATATTAATAGTTAAAATACAAATATAAGGACATGTTTTAAACACAAATTGATAATATTTATAGAGTATTGGGAGACGAAGAGAAGAAGCCGTTCGTTGAAGAGGCGGAGAGATTGAGAATCATTCATAAGAGTCAACATCCAGACTATAAGTAATACAATTTACAATTGTTTTTAATATTCTTTATATTCTTATATAAATAAATTCATAATCATATCAGATATCAGCCGCGAAGACATATATTAATCATTCATAAGAGTCAACATCCAGACTATAAGTAATACAATTTACAATTGTTTTTAATATTCTTTATATTCTTATATAAATAAATTCATAATCATATCAGATATCAGCCGCGAAGACGAAAAAGTAATAAATGCAGTAATAGTTGTGACGAGACATCTAAAGGAAAGACAAAAGCAGTTAAACAAACTTCCGTTTCTCCCGCATCAAAGTATGCATTCATTTGTTATTATAATTATTTAATTCTAATTAAACAGTTTATACATAATTATAATAATAATATCTTATATTTTATTTTTAGTAAATCAACAAAGAAGGAAAGCACAAAAAATGGGTTGAATGCTGTAAAACGGAAACCAAATCAGACCATTGTTAGCAATGGGAACGGCACTAACGGAGCCCTAACGCTAACCCCTCCTCACACACCCTCTAATGAAATAAACCCTTTACAGCGCAAGAGAGAAAGCACTGGAGAGACAAAACCAGGTAATTTTCAAGTCAATTAATTAATCATTTGTAATACCGTTAAGAATATTAATAATATATTTAATCACACGATGTGTTAATTTAAATACTAAACGAATAGTTGCCAATTCCGGGCCCCAACACAATGGCACGTCAGGTACCGGTGGTCCGCATGCCATTGACTTCAGTCACGTTGATGTGGGAAATCTGACCACAGAAGTGATGACAAACATCGATGAGACAGAACTGGACCAATACCTGCCACTCGTGAACGTGTCTTCGGCGGCTC